TAATTTTAAATATTTAGATGATCTTCATATTCCTGTATAATTTCTTATATGTTCACAATAAAATACAACTTTCAGAATAAGGAAATAGACCATTATTACAGAAAAGAAATTCAAGAATTTTTATATTACCTTGTGAAGCAATGGTATCTGGGTTACAATAAAAATACCTATTGGAGAAATGTATTAAAACTCTCTCTCGTTCTTGAGTTTCTCCCACAAGAGAAAATGCTTTAAAGAAATACCTTTAAAAAAAAGAAAAAGAAAAAGAATTAAGGGGAAAAAAGTTTTAGAACTTACTATATTTTTATTTATCAATTAAAGTTAATTTATACAAATTTAAGATATTATATAGTTGTCTTCTCTCCAAAAAAGAACTTAATAGTTCACCATTCAATATAAATTTATATTAAAATTTAAAATTTATAAAAAGTCACATAAAAAGAGAGTAACAATAGATTAGTCAATATATCACAAAAACATGGTTGGTAATTTTTCTATTATGACTAAATGCAAGTAGCCACCTTTCCTTCTTTCTTTTCTCTGCTTTTTTTGTCTTTTTCTTTTTCTTTTTTTTTTTTTTTTTTTTCTGAACCAGGGATTGAACTCAGGCCCTTGCGCTCGCCAGGGAAGCACTTATTCCACTGAGCCATCTCCCCGGCCCCTCTTTTTCTTTTTTGAGACAAGGTCTCACTATGTACTTTAGGCTGACATTGAGCTCACTCTGTAGCCCAGGCTGGTCTCAAACTTACAAAGATCCTCCTGCCTCAGCCTCCTAAGTGTTGGGATTATAGGCTGCGCCACCATACCCAACTCAAGTAGCCAACTTCAAAAGGTTAAAAAAAAAAAACAACAAAAAAACTCTTTAGCTTTCATGCATGCTCCCACAGGACGCTTTACAATTCCACTTGCAAAATGTCCCTTTTATCATTTATTACATGAAAATCTCCACTGAACCAGTATTAAAATTACAATTATGTTAATTTTATCTACTATGATATTTCATTGTCATATGAAAAAAATGAGAAATAGAAATTTATTTTTTGTTATGCAATAAAAGATGTACAAGATTTCTTGTAATAACAGTAAAGAGACCCAGAAAATTACACCATTCTAAATCAGAGTCACTAAAAGTATTCTTTAGCATAAATTAATCCAGATGACCTTCATTTAATATTGTAGATACACTGCCTTAACTAGGTGATGCTGAGGGGAAAAACTCATTTAAAGTGTTCTAAGAAATCCAACCATAATAAACTCTACCATTAGCCTTATTCCTGTGGAAATTCTGCTTTCTTCCTTATTAGAGAATTGGCTAGCCTAAGTTATACTGATCAAATTTGTTTTTCATACCTTGTTACAATAAACCATCATACTACATAGTAAATGAAAATCTACATCGTTCCTTTCTTTCCTGCTTGGCTATTTCCATTAGAAAACCAGTGGTTACCTTCCATTCATAGAAAAAGCCACCCTCACCCAATCACATACACTCCACTTCCCCGGCCCCAGATCTCTGATCTGTACACCTGAACACTTGTACCCGATGACCTCAGAACTCTTCCAGCCTCTGACATCTTATAAGGGATTTATAAACCTGCTGTCTGGGTTTACCTTCAGGTACCTCCAGGCATATGCAGTATAGTATGACGTAAAAAGTGAAAATCAGTGTACTTTAAGCAACTTCATTTAAAGTCATCAACAAGAAGTGGGTATTGTTTAAAAACTATTTTACAGATTATTTTCTGCTGATTATTATGATAATCATTTCTATTTCATTCAAGCATTAATATTAAAATATCTTAAAAGACTACCTAGCAATTACAAGCAACTAGAATTTTGCAATCTCAACTAGGTTTTTTTTTTTTTAACTAATCATTCAAAAACCAAATTTCCCTACTCAAAATCATTGAAAGTGTGCGCGCTTCAGCAGCACTTATACTAAAATCATTGAAAGGAGGGTCCCCAAGAGATACCTATTCACATATTTACAACAGCATTATTCACATCATATAAAATGTGGAAGCAATCTGTGTTATTGAAGGATAAATGAATAAGAAAATGGTGGTACAGTTACGTACTATAACACTACTCAGATTTTAAAATGAAATAAATCCTGCAGTATGTCATGATATAGGTGAACCATGAAGGCACAACATACTAGCTAATATGAGTCACAAAAAGAAGAATGCCATACAATTACAATTATGCAATAGAAACTCAGAGTAATCAAAACTACAGAGGCAGAAAACAACTGTGGTTTTAAGGGATGGGGGAATAAAGAAATGGAAGGCACTGCTTACCAGGTACAGCATTTCAGTATTACAGATGAAAAGAGCTGCAGAGAAACTGAGGGTGGTAATGAATGCACAGCACTAGGACGGTGCTTAATACCACTAACTTCACACTTACAACTAAAACAGCTAATAGTGGTACATGTATTTTATTACAAAACAAATTGAAAGGAAAACTCTCAACGAGCCCATTTTCCCCCAGATTTGCTTTGCCACAATTCTCTGCTGTGCCATCTGGACTCGGGCTTCCTACTACGTGCATATCAGCTGATGTGTTATTTCATAAAACAATACATTTTTATTATTCTCCACTATGCTTAATATCTACGATACAATCTGAAGTCCCACAGTTAACTGAGCAGGTTAAAACAATAAAGAACACTTTCTTTTGTAAGAATCCATTATTTGGAGGCCACAAACAACAGAAGTGAATGTTTAATCATACCTGAGAGACTGATCTAGTGTCATTCCTGTAAAATCGAAAAACTTCAGATATTCCTCTGCAACAAGTCTGCTAAATTCATTACTACAAGAAAACAGAACAGACTTGGTTAGTGAAGTGACAACTTAAAATATACACAGGCATGCATGCGCGCGCGCTCACACACATACACACGCTTCCAACTACAGCTAGTTTTGAGTTAAAACGTACTTTTTGCCCAGGTGTTTGGCGACATCTGATCTTTTGAATCTGTCCAGTTGATACAGGCGTTTGGCCAGCCTTTTGGCGGCCTCCGCGTTGCTGCTGGTACCGTTACTGAGACTTTCTGTGGTCTCTTTTTCCAGAATGTGCGTACTCCCCATTTCAGAGTGATCCTCTAGCTGCGCCTTTTTCACCCCAGCATTGCTATAAAATTTAATAAAAAAAAAGATGTAACAATGGAGAGTCTTCTTATATGTCAAATGGAGAAATATCTGAATAAATTACCATGATACTGTGGAACTAAATGAAAATCTTTAAATGAAACCATCATATTATATTTTAATAGTCATAAAAATATTTTCAGCTACAATGTTTCAAAAGATTAACAAGGCAATTACCTCAATCTGAGATAAGTAGTTATCGAACATTTTGCTCTCAGAACCTTGACATTCTAAAAGTACAGAGGATTCCAAAAAGCTTCTGCTTGTTTGGGCTAAAGTTATGCTCTGTATTAATAATTAAAATAAAAATTTAAAAGTAATAAGCCAATCTCCTGGAATGTATTCTATTTTATTAAAAAAATACTTTCAAAAACAGTATAAAATCTAGTAGGACCAACAACAGTGATTTAAATTTCGTATACATTTTTTTCATGACTGGCTCAACAGAAGAAACCTGGGTTCACCAAGTCACCTCAACATTTACTTTGAAATAACATATTTTTCTTATAAAGTATATTAAGAAAATTTGACAGACATTCACTTAGAAAAAATAGTTCAGATAACTATTCTTTCTGATAAAACATGACACTAAGTCAGTTTCTTATAAGGTAACTGCAATATAGAAGCCAGATTTGTGGTGCAGCTCCTTTTGTACTCTTACACTCATATCCAAGCTACACTTTGAGCAGGTCTTTTATCGATGTGCATCTATTTCCTGGTACTATACACTGGTTATTGCTCTTGGCAATTTCATTACCCAACGTTAGAGAAATCAACTCCTTTAATGTCACCATCATTAACTTCAGAAGAGTCTGTAAGTAATGAGACACCGTAAAACTTTTGATGGTACATGAAGTTTGAATTTTTTATCAAAAGCTTAAATTTAACAATTGGCTGAAAACACTTGTCAGTGTTTTCCATAAAGTGGAGATACTCTCTATACTTTGGAAAAAATGCTTGCAATATCTATTCTTTCTCAAAGTTCCTTTCACGGAAAAGTGACTTTCTAAGAAAAATGTGACAAGTTTATGGCCCCAACTCAAATTACCTTAACGTGCTTTTCCTGAGGATAACCAACAGGAGGAGTAAGTGCTTTATTTCCATTTCATTAAACATAAACTAAAAAGAATTCAGGTGTTGAAATCAAATAAAATTAGCTTGCACTGGACATTTTTAGGTGAAACTGGCCTTTATTTTCATGAGTGGAAGGCAGTGACAAAACACACAGACAAGAACAGTCCAGTGCCACTGCCTTGGTTTCTGCTAAGAACTCACCTGTTGCTTTCATGCTATGCAATATCAACACAGTGAAGAAGAAAGTATCTTCGCCCTTACAAACTTCCTGAAGGAAAGAAGCCCCACGGGCCACATTTGAGAAGCTCTGCTCTAAAGAGAAGTCACAACCTACGGCCTGTGGCCAGCTGCAAAGCGTTGCCTTGTGTATAACACTAAAACCAGTAAAGTTACAGGAATTTAAGCCCTCATTTTTCACTTGGCAACAAAGCCATGTTCACGATAAATGCCTTCTAGTACAATGTCACAGAGTTTATTTGAATCAGGATAGTCAGAATTTTATGGAATGAACCACAGAGTAAAGACTTTGAACCTAGAGTCTCAGTAAGGCCTGGATCACATACTCTGCTTTGGTGTTCTGTTGCCACTTTTCCAAACATAACGGCTACTCCGGGCTCAGCTGAATTGGCCCCTCACTCCTCTGCCCCTTGGTTCCTCTCTAATTTGGTCTGCACAGACAGTCGCCATTACTGTCTAAATTAAGACACTCTGAAGAAGGAAAAGTGATTAAAGTTTTATGTATGTAATTGTAATTGTTATAACATTTAAAAGGATTATTGATTTAAACATAATACTGCTGATAGCTGCAGAGTTTCTTTTTGGTGTGATGACAATATCATTAAAAGAAATAATGACACTAAACAACACTGAATGTATTAAAGTCACTGAAGTTTATACATTAAAAAGGTACATATATTTGAGGGATAACTTAGTGACTAGATCTTTCAAAATTTGAAATAGAAAAGTATATTATACAATCATACAATGTAATAATGGTTGTTATGGTCTGTGTCTAGGTGTCCCCCCAAAGCCTCATGCAGTCTTGGGGCGGCTTCTGGAGTTTGTGACTGATTACTGTGGGTGTGGATGCTGCACCTGCTCTGGGGCAGGTAATCTGCATTACAATGTAGGGTGGGAAGAGAAGCCAGCTTCGTGAGCTGCTGCTACCCCTCCCTTGTGCTCTTGCTCTTTGCTGCCACCACAAAAGGTTGGGGGGGGGGGCGCTGGAGAGATAGTTCAGTAGAATAAGCGCTTGCCTGGCAAGCACAAGGGCCTGAGTTCAATCCCTGGTTCTGAAAGGAACTCTTGGGGGCCAGGGAGATGGCTCAGTGGAATAAGCACTTCCCCCGGCAGGTGCAAGGGCCTGAGTTCAATCCCTGGTTCTGCCAAAAACAAAGGAAAAGAAAGGTTGCTTTCTGCCATGTTCTGCTCTGCCTTGGAGCCAGCTGAGTATGGACTGAAACCTCCAGAAACTGTGAGCTAAATAAACTTTTCCTTCCATCATTTTGAGTGTCAGGTATTTGTCCCAGCAACGAGAGAAGAGTAAGACAATGATGAAGACCACTGAAGCAAGAACAGACGGATTTGTAAATAGACTAGGTAATAGTGCCACTTATTCCGGCCAACTGATAACTTCCCATCTTCTGTGGTGACCAGCCACCAGGGTGGTCGGGCAGCTTTGCTATCACTGGGAAGGCAGTAAAGGCTAGGGGGTGACCAGCTGTGGCACTGGTATCTGCAGAGAACTCGCTTCCCAGCCTCCATCTGCTCCTGAGCACTGACTGCCCCTGGCAAGGCCCCCCGCAAACACCCTTCATCAGAAAGAACCTCAGCAGCTGCCCTTGAAATAGGGAGTGGGGAAGACAGGGTGTGTGTCAGGGAAGGAGGGACAGGACCCTTCTGATTCCAACATACGAAAAAGTTCATTGTCAGTTCATGCATTCCCAGAGGAAACCATGGAAGAAACCAGGGCACACACAGACACCAACCAAACCCATGCTGCTTTATTTTACTGCATCTATCAATACTATTTCATTGCCTAAAAAATTGGAGTCAAGTACTAAACTACAGTCAATGTCAGAACAACAACTGGCATAAACTGGAACAGACCCAGGAGGTAGAGCCCTTTGTAATCAGTAAGCCACTTTGATTTTCCAAGGGAAAATATCTCCCAATGGCAATAAATGACTTCATTGTGGTGAAATCATCATGAAAATAATTTTAAATTTTTTTTATCCTGAATCTATCTTTCTAAAGTTAACATTATTGGGCAGTTTTTGTGAAACACTGAGCCTGTGGTAATATGTTCATACTTCTAGTAAGTGAACTCATAGTAATTTCAATTGATTTTGTGTTTTGCCATATAAGTGTTGGGATATAAAATATTTACTCCTCAAACTATGTTACAACATATATTTCATCTTATGTTCCTTATATGTACAAAAAAATGTAATTTTATAAGATAAGTATATAAAACTTCTCTGGATCTTTCTTTAAAAACAAAACAAAAAAAACAGTAAAAGAACAAAAACAAAACAGAATTTAGCCTGATGACGCACACTTATAACTCCAGCACTCTCCATGCTGAAGCATATGATCACAAGTTTGAACCCAGGCTGGGCAACTTCCAGAGAGCCTGTCTTAAAAACAAAAGATTTTTTAAAATCAGGATAGGGGATGGAGTCCAGGGTGACTACTCTGGTTTAACTCCCACACTACAAAAAATAAACAAATAAATCAATCAGGAAAGGAACAAAGTGAGACAAATATTCCATTCCCGGGTGGCTTCATTCTATCCCATTTCATGACTTCCAAGATTGGTTCAACCCAGCAGAAAATGCTCCTTCCTCATCAGCCAGCCATCCAACTCACCGGCAGCAGTCAGACACCCTTAGGAACCCATCACAACCTCCTCGAAGGCACGCCTGAGCCATCGTTCTTCTGCAAAGCTCCTTTGCAGTCTGTTCTCTCCCTGAGCTCCAGGTTCTACTGTTGTGTAGGGCCTTCCGAGGATCTGGCTCTCTGTGAGGTCATGTTACTATGACCTCACATTCTTAGCCGAGTTCACTGTTTGTACTGTCTTTACAGTCCCAATACAAACAGGGGCTAGAATACAAGGGCCACTGTGTATCAAGGGAATAAAAAACAATACAGCCAGCCTTGCTCACACTTGATAAAGCAGACTGGATGGTCCTTCTCAGCCAAGATAACACCCCCTACTGTTCCTTCAATACACAACACAGTATCCCTCCAGTCTGTTGAGTATTCAAGGCTTTCATTAGTTTGGATGTCTCCTTCTTCTCTATAGTTCAAACTTTTTCCATTGTTTTTTAAACAATCTAATAAAATAAAATCTCTACCCAGTCTCTAAAGTATAGAAAGAAAGGGCTTGACAAAAGATTCTCCTTGTGTTCTAAGAAGTGTTTGGTCTTCCACAAGAATGTCAGCTTTCAGGGACCAGGACCTGCATGATGCCAGGTTCTTAGCTGAGGTCCAACACACCCACCTACCTCTCCCAGGCAAGGCTCCAGACTGGTAGACTCCTCACTGGGGGACAGACAGAGAATGAGGGCACACAGACAACCAGAAAGAATCACACCTCAGCAAGTAAGTGTTTCACTGGTTCATGGATTTCACATCTCCAAATAAATACCATGCTCATCAAAACATTCCAACTCCAACATCAAATGAAAGGATCAGATGTGAAGGCTAAACACACTAGCCTCCTCATAACCTCATATCAGATTCTAGGAGTGTCTGAATAAACACAGAACACCCAAGTATCTGAATTTCAATAAGGAAAAAAATAGTTTTTAACATAACAAGTATTTCATCATGGGGGGGAGGGGTGTGTGTTGACATCTTATGTCTGCTTGGCAAACTTATCTCCTATAGTATTTGTTCTAAATT